TATTCAAGATTCTCTAAATTTTCATTTCGTGCCAGACTTTTAAGAATTATAAAAGTTTTCGAACTTTTTGTAATTCTTGGAATTCTTGAAATACCCAAAATTTATAGTATGTTGAAAATATTGGTTATACTAGATATTTACAAATTGGAAAGTTTTGAAAATTTTGGTAGTTTGGAAGCTTTGAAAGTTTTAGTAAATTGGAATCATTGAACATTTTGAAAACAAGATATTATGAAAGTTCCAGGGAATTTTGAAAATACTGATTCAGTATTTATTTTTTTTCTAAATATTCAGTATTACTGAATATTGAAAGAACTGCAAAAATACGCTAATTTTTTAAGCGCACATTTTGGAAAACATGAATATTTCTGAAATAGTGAAATTCTTGAACATTATGAAAAATTATGGAAATTACGAAATGTTCTGCTTCCATTTTTAAAATCTTGAATGATTTGGAAATACTGAAATTAATGGAAATCATGGAAGTACCCTTTTTCAAAATCATTGTCAACATTTTCGGTATTTTAAAAATTTTCACAATTTTCAGAGTTTTAAAAAAATTCGGTTTACAAAAAAAAAAAAGTTTTCAAGATTTTCAAAATAATCAAGATTCTCTTAATTTTGAGTTCATGCCAGATTTTTAAGAATTATAAAAGTTTTCGAACTTTTTGTAATTCTTGAAATTCTTGAAATACCCAAAATTTATAGTATGTTGAAAATATTGGTTATACTAAATATTTTCAAATTGGAAAGTTTTGAAAATTTTGGTAGTTTGGAAGCTTTGAAAGTTTTAGTAATTTGGAATCATTGAACATTTTGAGAACATGATATTATTGAAAGTTCCGGGGAATTTTGAAAATACTGGTTCAGTATTTATTTTTTTTCTAAATATTCAGTATTACTGAATATTGAAAGAACTGCAAAAATACGCTAATTTTTTAAGCGCACATTTTGGAAATCATGAATATTTATGAAATAGTGAAATTCTTGAACATTATGAAAAATTATGGAAATTATGAAATGTTCTGCTTCCACTTTTAAAATCTTGAATGATTTGGAAATACTGAAATTAATGGAAATCATGGAACTACCCTTTTTCAAAATCATGGTCAACATTTTCGATATTTTAAAAATTTTCACAATTTTCAGAGTTTTAAAAAAAATCGGTTTACAAAATTAAAAAAAAAGTTTTCAGTATTTTCAAAATATTCAAGATTCTCTAAATTTTCAGTTCATGCCAGATTTTTAAGAATTATAAAAGTTTTCGAACTTCTTGTAATTCTTGAAATTCTTGAAATACCCAAAATTTGTAGTATGTTGAGAATATTGGTTATACTAGATATTTTAAAATTGGAAAGTTTTGAAAATTTTGGTAGTTTGGAAACTTTGAAAGTTTTAGTAATTTGGAATCATTGCACATTTTGAGAACATATTATTGAAAGTTCCGGGGAATTTTGAAAATACTGATTCAGTATTTATTTTTTTCTAAATATTCAGTATTACTGAATATTGAAAGAACTGCAAAAATACGCTAATTTTTCAAGCGCACATTTTGGAAACCATGAATATTTATGAAATAGTGAAATTCTTGAACGTTATGAAAAATTATGGAAATTATGAAATGTTCTGCTTCCATTTTTAAAATCTTGAATGATTTGGAAATACTGAAATTATTGGAAATCATGGAAGTTTTAAGAATCTCGATGATTTTGCAAACTGAGAATTTTGAAAATATTGAAAACTTCTGAAATGTTTCAAAATTCCTAATTTTTGAAGTTTTTCAAAAACTCCGGAAGTTTTAAAACTAAATGAATATTTGGAAAACCTTTATGATCTAGAAAACTAAAAACCGAAAATTTATTCTCCACAGCTTCTACAACCTAAATGTTGGTGGTAACATAAACTCTCAGGAGTAATAAACTGCATGTGTTTTTTTAATTTAGTTTGGAAAACATTCTTGTTGCCCATATGGGCAAAATTGTCGAAAAACTCAAAATTTTCAAAATTTCCCAAACTTTTGGAAACATTTTCAAAATTTTTTAAAATTTTTCAGAATTTTCACAATTTTTTAAATGTTCAAGATTCCTGAAATATTCAAGTTTTCAAACTAAATTTTTAGAATGTTCGTAGATTTCAATATTTTTAATATTCTCCAAAATTTCTAGAATCTTCGAAATCATCAGAATTTTCAAAATTTGCAAAATATTCAGAGTTTTCAAAACTGTCAGTGTTCACAAGTTTTATGTTCTAAAATTTTTGATATTTTCAAGATTTTCATACTTTTCAAAATGTTAAAAATTTTCGGAATCTTCAAAATTCTCAAAACTTTTTAAATTTCCATCTTCAAATTTTCAACTTCGAAGTTGAGTCATTTATTTTAACAGTGAGTAGATCTGATCAAAAGAAATGTTTTTTTCCTTTACCATTTTTCTGGTAAAATTAAAGTAACAAAGTTATAGCCCTTTGGAAGCTTGAGTTCCGACCTGTCTCAATAATAATATGATGTGCTCGTGTTTGGCGACAACGGATATAATCCGCCTTATCGGTTCATCGCATCGGAAACAAAAAAGCGAAAGAATTTGGAACGATGTTTTTACAATTATTTTATTCAGTTGTATACAGTCAGTGTCAGTCGGTAACGCGTGAGTGAATAGTGATGTCTGTTGCGTGGCTCAAACGAAATAAAAAATGGCACATGTTTATGCGGATCGGTTTCCCAATCGAGTGCAACCAACCCCTCGTGCCTTTGTTAATGTAGTACAACGGGCTCGTGAATCAGGTGACTTAAGACCTCACAGGGGACGGCATGCCGGTGCTCCAAGACCTCACGATCAAATACAGGTCCGCACTGAAATACTTGTCGGGAGGATACTTTATAAAACAAGGTAAATTTTTTATTTAATTTTTTTTTTATTTTTACACACATATTTTGATTTATCTTCCTTCTACAATCATTATCTGAAAATTAATGACTCAACTTCAAAGTCCAAGGGTTGGACAATCCGCAATCTGCAATCCTTCCTTAAGAGTCGACTATAAATGTGGGCCTTATTTGGTTTATATGACATGTCTTAAGTCAGTCAATACTTCTAAATTACCGTTTATCGTGGAAAGCCAGTTGAAACCAAAATAGTTGGTTGTCTCAAACTTCTTTCTGTTTCGACTTGGCTATGTTATGCATATTAGGTAACAGAAGGCTGTTGTCGGATGGTGGCTGCTGCCCCCCAGGAGTCGCTTCACCACCGCCTGTTATGAAAATACATAATTTTATAGGTTCATGCGTTTTTGTTTGGAGAAACACGCTTCAGCGGAGGAAGCAGCAAGAGTTAATTAACATTGGAGCGAAATGTTACGGAAGGAGCAGTTTAGCAATGCAAACAGCAAGGCATCAGACCTTAACATATACATGGTGTCCCAGAGGGCATTTGAAACGATTGATAGAGATATTTTGTTAGGTAAATTGAAGGCATATGGTATAACAGGAAGTGTTTTAGATTGGTTTAGAAATTATTTGTCTAAATGGATGCAAGTTACAAAAGTTAATGACACTATTTCATCAAAAATTGTAAATACGTTGGGTGTTCCACAGGGCAGTATCCTGGGACCACTTCTTTTTATTTTATACATAAATGATTTACCTGCCATAGTCAAAAAATGCCAAATTCAAATTTTCGCCGATGACAGTATGATTTATATAAGTACTAAAAATATTCAGTCTGGTATCTCTTATATAAATGAAGACTTGAAGCTTGTCTCAAAATGGTTAGCATCTAACAGACTAAAATTAAATGCAAGTAAAACGAAAGCCTTGTTAATCGGAAAAAAACAATGTACGAATGTTCAACTGAATATTGATGGTGAAGATATTGAATTCGTAGAAAATTTTAAATACCTGGGAGTTTTTGTTGACTCTCGATTAATTTTTGATATTCATTATGAAACAGTTATAAATAAGATTAGTAGTAAAGTGGGATATTTATCGAGAGTTTCTGGATGTCTGAGTTCATATAGCAGAAAAATTATCTATAATACCATCATTCTTCCAAACTTCTTGTACTGTTCGACTATTCTATATTTAGCAAATAATTCCATTTTTGAAAGACTGTAAATTTTACAAAATAAGTGCAGGAGAATAATACTAAATAAAGATAAATATACTCCAATTAGGCAAATGCTTAGCAAATTAAAATGGCTCAATGTAAAAAAATTTATCAAATATCTTGTAATGATATTCATTTATAAAGTAAAAAATAATATATTTCCATCAAGTCTAACTAATTTAACATCATCAAATGTCGACCATCATTTACATAATACCAGAAATAAAGATGACTTCCATTTAATGACCAAAAAGCATAACATATGCTACAAACCTGTTTTCCATCAAGGGTTGATTGAATATAATAAATTATACTCGGAGATAAAAGACCAGAAAACTTTGACAAAATTTAAAGAAAAATTGAGAAATCACTTGTTAGATCTACAATTATAGGTTGCCCAGCATTTACATCATACACCATATGGCTTGAATTTACTAGTTCTAAGTTGTTTACAATTGTTCTGTTTATGTAGCCAAATGTGCTAAATAAATCTTTCTACTACTACTAGTAGGTGTTTCGGGATTTTGTTTTTGGACAAAACCAAATATTTTGAAAAAATCCCATGCAGAATGTGGAAGTATGTATCCATTGATTTTCTTAGCTGATTCTAAAGACCATTACTCTTCGAAAAATAACCTTTAAGAGCAGCTGCAGTTCAATTTGACCAACAACTTGAGAAGGGGTCTTGCGGAAAAATCTTACAAGCATTCTGATCACTTGGTAGTCGACCGTGACAGTGGTACGGTGCGACATCTCTGTGAATAGCGCAGAACGTCAAGCGGTTATGGGCCAGAGGATTTGAAGGTTTTCATGTCCCTCTCCTAGCATGGAAAACCTTTGGTAGGAGGCGATCGTCAGATTTAATACTTATTCTTGAACTCTATCCGAAAATAAAAAGCGTATCTGTGAGATATTAGCATTTATTGAAAGTATACCTACAACTAAGGCACCATTTTGGTGCTTACTATACTTGATATGGTTCCACATCCCCTTCGTAGTAGTTGAAACCGATCAAAAAGCATGCGCCTAGCAGTACAGCTTTGGTCCAGACATCGGCTTGGATAGGAAATGTTATACCGAAGTTAGCTGCTCGAGTACTACTGCGGAAGCCTTTTGAAATACGACCTACGACCTCGCCATACTCGTTTTTTATCTGAAAGTACAAACTTCAAAATTTCCAAAAATCTAAACTTTGGATTATAAAATTTTAAGTAAGGATTTTAAGAATTAAAAATTTTCTAAACAATATCAAATATCAAAATTTTCAAGATTCTACCACCATTTCAAGGTTTCAATTTCAAAATTACCGTTTTCCTAAATATTTGTAATTGTTGTAGTTATACTAAGTGACATATAAATCCGAACACCCAGTTTAAATGGTTTTATTTTAATAAAAGTTGGTGAATGTATTTATCTTACTGTAAATAACAAGTGAAAAAATTTGCAGCCTTATCAGTTGGACATTCCGGTTTTTATACTGCTTTTTTTTAATTCACTAACGCTCTAAAAATGAATATTTCAGCCGCAGTAAAGAATCAACGTTGGCGGATTTTGGTTCTTGTCATCCTTTACGATCGGTTACGATGCCTAGAGTACGGAGACCTGTACGATTTCGTCAACTTAGTGAGTTTGATAGGGGCCGTATAGTGGGACTTCGGGAAGTTGGACTTTCTTTTCGGGCAATTGCAGTTAGAGTGCAAAGAAGTGTAGACACTGTGGTTAGGTGTTGTCAGGCATGGCTTCGAGAAGGCCGTACGCAAAGATCAAGGGGCACTGGACGCCGCCGTAGAACAACAGACCGTGAAGATCGCCGCCTAAGATTATTGGCCTTAAGGGACCGTTTCTCCACTACCAGGTCCATTACAAATGAATGGTTTGCAGAACACGGAAGACCTATTGGCGTGCGAAGTGTTTACCGACGAATGAGAAGTTTTGGCTTGTTTTCATACCGGTCACACTGGGTCCTCCCTTTAACTCGAGAACACCGACGTAATCGCCTTGAGTGGTGCAGACAACGGTCACTCTGGGATCAGGAATGGAACAGTATTGTCTTTAGTGATGAGTCTCGATTTTGTTTAGGCATGCACGATGGTCGTGCCAGGGTTAGAAGGCGACGTGGTGAAAGGAGGAATCTACAGTTTTTTGTTGAAAGACATGTTCATCACACTGTTGGAGTTATGGTTTGGGGTGCTATAGCTTATGGTTCCAGGACACCTTTAATCTTCATCAGAGGTAACATGAACGTGCAGCGTTATATCCACGAAGTTCTAGAACCCCATCCTTTACCCCATCTTGACACCCTGGCAGATCCAACTTTCCAACAAGATAATGCCCGACCACATGTTGCAAGAGTCACAATAGACTTCTTTCAACATAATGATGTCACATTGTTACCATGGCCACCAAGATCTCCCGACTTATCCCCAATTGAGCACGTGTGGGATATGATGGGTAGGAGATTGCTCAATTTGCAACGTCCTCCTCAGACTCTAGAAGCACTTCGAGAGGAGTTGGTGGTTGCCTGGAATGAGATACCACAGGTGGACATTGACCACCTGATCAGAAGCATGCCTAGGCGCGTTGGAGAATGCGTAGCACATCAGGGTGCATCCACACATTATTAAAGGTCAAAGGGCTTTAAAGCAGTGCAATCATTTTGAAATTTTTATCATTTACTTATTATGCTTCATTAAGTACTTATACAAAATTTTATTAAAATAAAACCATTTAAACTGGGTGTTCGGATTTATATGTCACTTAGTATATTAGGAAAAATGGAATTGAAGCAACCATCTAACGAAATCTTAAACAAGGTATTCAAAATTGTCAGTGTTTTAAAAATTTGCTACCTATCCAACATTTACAAATTTTAAGGACTTTTGAAGGTTTAAATTATCCGAAATTGTTATTCTTATCAAAAATATTTTACGACGGCCTAAATTCCCAAAAACCAACCAAATAACATTGGATGATGGCCGCGAAAGCATTTCGCATTTCATTATCCGAAACACAAAAATATCGAGAGTTTCAAACTAGCCAACATGTTCAGAATTTTTAGATTTTGCGTAATTCACATGATTTTTAGAAAATTGGGGATTTTAAGAAGGTCTTAAGAGTTGGAAATTTTCTAAATTCTTAGTTTCGGAAAATATAAAAATTTTTAAAACTACATCGACTTCAGAATTTCAAGGTTTCTATGTCAAATTATTGTTTTCCTAGGTATTTGAATGTTACGGAATAACTTGTAGTTTTTAAGAAAAGTAATTGTGGCAATTGTGCTAAAAAAGTCTTAAATAGGCAGGATATTCATAATTGGCAGTGTTCTCAAAATTTGCTACCCATCCAACATGTACGGCTATTTAGGATTGTTGATGGTTGCGCGGTTTTTTAAATTTTCGTTGTCTTCAAAAGTTACACATTTTTTGGAGTTTTTACCGTTTTTATTTTCAAAGTGCATAAAATTTAATTAAAACTATGTGTTTTAAACCAGCCAACATTTAAAAAAAAATACTCCAGAGTCTGCAAAATTATCATTATTTTTCCGCGCTTTTAAAGATCTGTAATCTCATCAAAATTAGCTGAGACTTAATATTTTAACAATTTTCAAGATTAACCTTGTTAAGCTTTTATGATCTTGAAAAATTGAAATTATTCAGACATCTCAAAATGGTCAAACTTTTCGAATCTATCTAAATTAATAAATCTTCGGTATGTTTAAATATTTTTCGATTTCCTCTGTTTTGGAGATTTCGTACAAAAATCAAAACCGTAAGAATTTCAAGGTTTTCCACGTTGTCAATACTTTTCCAATTTTCAAATTATGGCAGATATACGAAATATTCGATTGTTTGTTAATTTCAAGATTCAAAAGGTTTCACGTCTAAATTTTTCGGAATTTTTATAATTTTAAAAGCCTTCAAATATTGTGAAAATCCTCAAAATTCAAAGAATTTTAGCATTCACGTATTCTACCTGAAGATAATTAACCAAATGCTATATTCCCACGTCCAAACATCTTTTCGGTGGGGAATGAGATATCATAAGGTCATCTATGAGAATTTGTCACAGCTATCTTTCTCCTTTCCGCACTTATTTAAAATGAACTTTGAAAAGGTTAGTGCCTGCTAGATGAAACACTAATCTTTGCAAGGTAGACTTCTAGATGAGGTTACGGCACCTCGCTTCATCTGGGATCCTTTTTTTGGACGCTGGAATACAGTATTAAGTTGGCGGGAAAACACGCTAATCGATGATTTAGAAATTTTTGGTCTCTGAATTCTATTGTTATTTTAAAAATTTTCAGAACACCTCACGGATACAAAATTTTGCATAATTTTTTCGAAATAAGTCTTTACCTGAAAGTCGTCATACTTTGAGGTGCAACCACATAATGGGCCGTAGATACTCAGAAAGCAGTTATCCGTAACACCAGTTACAGAGAAACTTGGACGACACATGCCGCAGTTTTGACTAACTCCTCCTATATGCCCATGTGTACTGGTGTAAACCTCTGCAAAATATCGCAGATTAGAAACGTTATCACCAAAATAATAAAAATATTCCTCAAAAAGTCAGGGAAGGAGCTGTGTACACGTAATAGAAAGGATTACAGTAAAGGTTTGGTTTTTGAGCCTAAAGACTACTGTGGATCCTATCCTAGATCTATTTGAAGCTCTGTATTTAGCTTTAATGCGAACAAAAGCATAGCATGACATCCCTTAGATGGCGCCTTGAGCCGTTTCATGTTGATATACCAGAGTTAGATTGAGGATAGCTGCTGTGATTTCGTTCGTTGTCCTACAGGGCAGGTTTAGACCATGCTGATGAGCTCCCAAAAAGCACAAAACAGCTGTCTTTGGTTGACTGGTTTCCGATTATGGTAACAGAAGGTGCAATTTTGTTTCGAGTCTTTTGAATTTTCTCCGACAAGTGGGTCGATCCAGTAGCAGCGAAGCTGAACGTAAAAATCGTAAAAACAAAATCCGCTAAAATTTTCGACATTTCAAAGGCTGTTGATCATTTTCAGAAAAATCTGTCCAGGGATTGTAAGGGGTGAGGGAGAATATATGTTTTTTGCGATAGTATATTTCAGACCCCGGGAATTATGCGACCTCATTAGGTATACATTAAATATTTAGGAGGTACTATAGATCAAAATTTAAGTTTGGGTGACCATGTGGTGTATATGTGAAAAAAGGGGAAAATGTAGGATATACAGAACAAGAGAGTCAGAAATGACAGACAACACAAGACTTTCAGCAAGCTTTTTTCGGGTTTTAAAATTCAAGATGTATCGATTAGAATAGAGGAGTTTCAAACGCAAATACGTTACTCTAGATAAGAAAGAGACATGCCGATCGAATCTCATATTTAAGTTAAGGGTAACACCGAGATTCTTGGCGTAATCCACAAAAGGGATGAGTGTCTCATCCAAAAAAACACAAATCCTCTGCTTCATTTCAGGGTAGGAGTTCTTCGAACAGTACAACATCGCGGTAGTTTTATTAGGATTGATCTTCAAGCAGTGTTTGTTACAGTAATCACCGATGTTAGCCAAATCTAAATTAACTTTAAAAGAAACTTCATCAACCTTTGATGGATCGAAACCAAACACTAACTGAGTATCATCTGCACAAGTTTGCATACTTTAGTGGACTAAACAGTCTTGCAGATCGATCGTATAAATCAGATATAGAAAGGGACCTAATATTGAGCCCTGAGGAACTCCTGAAGGAACTGGCTCAGAGGAGGAAATTCCCTGATCAGTTTTCACTGTTTGTTGACGATTTAGCAAGTATGACTCAAAGAACCTTAGAACTATATCTGACATTCCATAATGAGATAACTTACTCAGTAGTATCTGGTGATTGACCATATCAAAGGCTTTCGAGAAATCTAACAGTACCAAGACGGTGTTGATGTGATTGTCTAAATTGTGAATGATGGAATCAGTAAGGTGTAATAAAGACGAAGTAGTGCTGTAACCAGCTCTGAAACCTGACTGATGTAGAGGAAATAAGTGATTTTGTTCGAAAAACTCCACTAGTTGTGAGTAGACAGCTCTTTCGAGTATTTTTGATAGAAAGCATAATAAGGTAATTGGCCTGAGATCCGAATATTGTTCTGGATGATTAGTTTTAGCTATTGGAATAATAATACCATTTTTCCAACTGGTCTGTTTCGAGACAGACATTAATAATGTGAGTTATATGGTCTATGGTATCAGGCAAACATAAGCAAACCATATTTATAGTTAGACCATCAGAGCCACATGCCGTAGACTTAATGTGAGAGATTATATTGACGATGTCTTGCTGAGTAAGGAGTTTAAAAGCAAATAGAGGTGCATCCGGTGTATGGCGTCTATAGCTATAAGAGTTAGAGACACTATCAATCAAATCTGTATCAGCTGCAGCTGTCTGGAAAATTGAAAGAAAATAATTATTTAAAATGTTAGGCTCAAGGAGACTGGGAGGTATCGCAACATGTTTCTGGGTTACCACATTCATCCTCCTCAGGTGTTTCCAAGCTTGACTAGAGTTAAGATTCCGGAAACCTGACATATATGCTTTTGTCTCTCTTCTAAGCGATGCAAGGGCATTATTTCTCAAATCTTTGTAGCTGGCCCAATTCTGATCAGATCTGTTATGCTGATAGACAGCGAATGCCTCATCTCTGAGTTGAAAAATCATTTTCAAGTTAGGAGTGAGCCAGGGCGCAGCAGGTTTTGTGACACGTACTGTAGGTAGCGGAGTGTAGAGATCGAATAGATAAAGAAGACGGCCAGTAAAAATAGAGAAATTAATATCCACATCATTCACGAAATAAATGTCATTAAGCTGCATTGATGCAATATGCGTCTTAAAACTTTGAATATCAATGCTATTAAGATTTCTATATATTACAAATTTAGGCTACAAATTTTTTTATAACAAACGGAAATATCACAGTATGTGAGCCGATGATCACTAATTGAGTCTGCATTGAGTGTCTCTGACCTTTTGACGATAGTATTGTCACTAACAAATATTGGATCAAGTAATGTGGAACTGAAGGCTGTAACACGTGTAGGCTCATCAATGACTTGAATGAAATTGAATGAATCAAAGCAGCTGCTGAGGATGTTGTTATGAGCAAGCAAGTCGAAATACAGATCTGTAAAACCCTTACCTATATGTTGATAGCACGAGGAAAACGGTCTATCGAAATAAATAGCCTCAACACCTCTATTTCCAAAAACCCGCATCTTGAACGGCCTACTCTCGCTATAGCAACTAGCATTACCCCAATCCGAAAATTCGTAAGCGCTGTACAAGCTCTCTCCATATCCATTCTCTATGATGTACTCACGATCAGCGCCTGTCCTGGACACAAACTCAGAAATGGTGACCTTTTTCGGAACCGACAGTTCGCTAACTGTTGCTAGAAGTTCCAAACCTGAAGGATAGCCTTTCAAACATGCCATTTTTAGCTTCAAGGTTCGACATGCGTGGGCATATTCTGAGCAGACACTTATGATGAAGAGAGCAATTTTCGAACGCGGGTTTCGAATTATGATTGACGGGACTGACTGGTACTGACTTTGAGGTTTTCGTTTTGGTTATAGACATAGATTATTAGCTACACTAAAAAGTTGCTTTCCAGTGACCCTGTTGAGTACCTCTGAGTAAATCAGTATTGCTCAGCACCAGTAACGTTCGACCGCACGTTGTATTCTCATGAGTTAAAAGATCGATGCCTCGAGGTCGCTTTTTAAAAAGTTTATTTTCGAAAATACAAAAACCCAAAAAATGTACTTTTACAAAATTATTACAATGTTATTATGATGTTAACAGTACAAAGGCTTAAATCTGACTGACTATAAAATTAGTAGTAGTAGTAGAAAGATTTATTTAGCACATTTGGCTACATAAACCGAATAATTGTAAACAACTTAGAACTAGTAAATCCAAGCCATATGGTGTATGATGTAAATGCTGGGCAACCTATAATTGTAGATTTAACAAGTGATTTCTCAATTTTACTTTAAATTTTGTCAAAGTTTTTTGGTCTTTTATCTCCGAGTATAATTTATTATATTCAATCAACCCTTGATGGAATACAGATTTGTAGCATATGTTATACTTTTTGGTCATTAAATGGAAGTCATTTTTATTTCTGGTATTATGTAAATGATGGTCGACATTTGATGATGTTAAATCAGTTAGACTTGATGGAAATATATTATTTTTTACTTTATAAATGAATATCATTTGATAAAATTTTTTACATTGAGCCATTTTAATTTGCTAAGCATTTGCCTAATTGGAGTATACTTATGTTTATTTAGTATTATTGTCATGCACTTATTTTGTAAAATTTGCAGTCTTTCAAAAATGGAATTATTTGCTAAATATAAAATAGTCGAACAGTACAAGAAATTTGGAAGAATGATGGTATTATAGATAATTTTTCTGCTATATGAACTCAGACATCCAGAAACTCTCGATAAATATCCCGCTTTACTACTAATCTTATTTATAACTTTTTCATAATGAATATCAAAAATTAATCGAGAGTCAACAAAAACCCCCAGGTATTTAAAATTTTCTACGAATTCAATATCTTCACCATCAATATTCAGTTGAACATTTGTACATTGTTTTTTTCCGATTAACAAGGCTTTCGTTTTACTTGCATTTAATTTTAGTCTGTTAGATGCTAACCATTTTGAGACAAGCTTCAAGTCTTCATTTATATAAGAGATACCAGACTGAATATTTTTAGTACTTATATAAATCATAGTGTCATCGGCGAAAATCTGAATTTTGCATTTTTTGACTATGGCAGGTAAATCATTTATGTATAAAATAAAAAGAAGTGGTCCCAGGATACTGCCCTGCGGAACACCCAACGTATTTTCAATTTTTGATGAAATAGTGTCATTAACTTTTTTAACTTGCAACTTAACAAAAAAAAAAAATCGAAGAAGCATTTAAGAATTTTTTTTTTTTTTTACTAGGAAATTGAAAGTTATCACGGAAGGACAAATGTACAACCATTCGACCAGATAACAAGTAGTAAAAGTAAGGTAGAAACAAAAATGTTAGAAGAGAATTGGAAGAAAAAGGGATAGCCTCAAGTCTACCAAACAAGAGGGATGGTTATAGCACCAACTCGCTGAAAAGTACAGTGAAGTTGCACTTAAAAAAACTATCATCATATGATGAAAAACCCAAAACATAAAACATCGTCATACCTAGGACGAGAAAAATAATAAACCAAAAGCTTCAGCAGTAGTCCAAGCACGAAGTGAGGAATCACAATGGCATCCAAGATGCACGACTGACTACTAAAAACTTCAAAACTAAGTAAGTACCTAAACCATAAGAGGTACTAAAAAAAATAATAATCTTTCTCAAAACAATTGCCAGATTATCTCGCAATACTCCAAACCCAAAAAGATTATGATCTACAGTGATATTTTAAACCAATATAAAATATAAAAAAACTGAGCATTACTATTTTCAAAATATGAAAATCAAAAGAAATTAACAAATTCTATTAAGAACTCCAGTTATATAACAAAACAATTTACAAGTACTAAACCAATGAAAACTTGATCACGAAGGTATTTTAATCAAAAAAGATGTTAACTAAGTGCAGTTCTGATTCCACAAAAAAAATTGTCGGGCGCCAGCAGTCTGTAAGACTACAAAATAATTCAAAATATTTTCAGAGAATTAAAGTACGTATATAAGGGACATTCATGAAATATTGAAGTAAGATTTTCAAAGTCAAAATATAGCGTAAGTTCAATCAATGAACTAAAATTCAAGAGTAAGTTCAATCAAAATTTTCGGGTCATGTGACAACATAAGAACCAGACCAAAAAAAAAAAAAATTTGAAGTACAATATAGAAAAGAGCAAAATAAATTTCCAAAAAAACTAAGTGCAACACAAGTGCAACTGTAAATTTAATAGTGTTAAAATCATAAAGTGAAAGGAAATATTAAAGCTATATGAGCATGATTTTATAAAGGGTTCTCAAAAAAATTTAAAAGTAAGCAAAATATTAAAAGTTTCATGAGTAATAAATGAGAAACGAAGTGAGCATATGTAAAATGCAAAATAGCGAAACGAAAATCACAAGATATTTTATTAAATCATGATACATGAGAGTAATGCCGCAAGCAAAAATTGTATGCAAAAGACTACGATATATGTAGGTGCAAAATTGGAGTTATAAAAAAAAATCTAGTGAACAAGAAATAGAAATAAATATGATAGGTAAGAATTCGAATTTTGATTTAAAGCAAAAATATGAGAGAAAGACAACTTTCTAGGGTCACCATAGGTGCATTCCAAAGCCCTAGACAAGAATGTCTATAGTCTATGGAATATTTTCATGTAGATCACTGATATCATCAGCGCACTTCAAAGTCTACACTGAGAATAACCATAACATTGTAAAATGAAAGTTAAGTTCAAATATGAAATATTACAAGATTAGAAAAACTATAATAATTTACCAGTGTAAAGTATGAAAAGAGAATTACTATACTGAATCTATAAGAATTGGTGATTACTTCAAGTCAAGACAGAAATTGAAAGAAATAAGAAGTCGGAAAAAAATTATGAGAGCAGACTATCAAAACAAATGCAATAATGCAAGAGCAAAATCACCAGATATTTCAAAATCTATAGCGAAACATGAAAGCAATGTCGCAACCAAGCTCAAGACTTAGCAATACGCACAAATGTGCACAAAGGCTGAAAGCATATATGAAAAATCTCAAGAAGGAATTGACAATTACTTCAAATCAAATTGAACTGATTGAATTGAACTGAGACATAAATAACTATATCAAAAGTGAGTTTTACTTATACGCCAGAGGTTTCAAGAGTTTATCAATACGCACAGATTTGCAACTAGGCGGAAAGCATATATGACAAGTCTCAAGAAGAAAATAAAATGCATATGAAGAAAACACTTTCAATTAAAGAAACTGTGGATAGTACAAGACCCTCAAAGGCATACATCGCAACGAATCTATGTTACTATCCAGATTACAAAATACTGTCAAAGTTCAAAACCACTCAAAAATATGTAAACAAACATCAAAAGTTTGAACCAAAAATCAATGTAAGTCTGTGCTCTCGAAGAAAGTTATAATGAATTCAAAAAGAGGATACTATCAAAAACTTCAAAAGTAATAGACTTCAAAAATAGAAGTACGTAAGTATGTAAAGGAAATTCAGAAAATATACGCATAAAAACATTATAAAATATTATACACAGTATTTGTCACATGATTTAGATCGGGAATGCAATTTAAATTTTGAGTACACTCAGAAAAATGAAATATTCAAAAGATGAAGTATACACATTAAATTGGAATCAGAAAAATAATGATTACTTGTAAATTTTGTACATGGTGGACTGACGTAATGGTTCAAAAGGTTGAAAGAACAACGATGACTAATGTCCAAAGTAAACATTCAGCTGCCTCTTACAGCAAATAAGTTTAATCATTATCAAAGGTAATTCTTCTCCGTTCGCATCTGTACTTGGAAATAAACATAGGAAAACCTACTCGCTCCAATGTACAGATCGAAAAACTCGCCCCCTTCGATTGAGCGGTAATATGAGTATTGGACAAATTGTAATATTTCAAAAGGTTGAAGGATCAACGATGTTAAATGTCCAAAGTAAACATTCAGCTGCCTCTTACAGCAAATAAGTTTATTCATTATCAAAGGAAATTCTTCTCCGTTCGCATCTGTACTAGGAAATAAATATAGGAAAACCTACTCGCTCCAATGTACAGATCGAAAAACTCGCCCCCTTCGATTGAGCGGTAATATGAGTATTGGACTGATTGTAATATTTCAAAAGGTTGAAGGATCAACGATGTTAAATGTCCAAAGTAAACATTCAGCTGCCTCTTACAGCAAATAAGTTTATTCATTATCAAAGGAAATTCTTCTCCGTTCGCATCTGTACTAGGAAATAAATATAGGAAAACCTACTCGCTCCAATGTACAGATCGAAAAACTCGCCCCCTTCGATTGAGCGGAAAAATGAGTATTGGACTGGTTGTAATATTTCAAAAGGTTGAAGGATCAACGATGTTAAATGTCCAAAGTAAACATTCAGCTGCCTCTTACAGCAAATAAGTTTAATCATTATCAAAGGAAATTCTTCTCCGTTCGCATCTGTACTAGGAAATAAATATAGGAAAACCTACTCGCTCCAATGTACAGATCGAAAAACTCGCCCCCTTCGATTGAGCGGTAATATGAGTATTGGACTGATTGTAATATTTCAAAAGGTTGAAGGATCAACGATGTTAAATGTCCAAAGTAAACATTCAGCTGCCTCTTACAGCAGATAAGTTTATTCATTATCAAAGGAAATTCTTCTCCGTTCGCATCTGTACTAGGAAATTAATATAGGAAAACCTACTCGCTCCAATGTACAG